TGACTTTATTTTATCGAGTGAATAATATATTGTCGTATGTCAGTTTAGAAGCGACATAAAATTCTGATCTGACATAAATTCCGATCTGACATACAACAGTACCACTTGTTTATTACAGCAAACGTTTTCGAGAAAAGAGGGAAGAAAGATTTTGCAAATAGTATATAGATATTGGTAAAGCGAGAGCGCAATGTGAAATCTGAGACTATTCTGTTAGCAGGCCACTAAAGTCGCCCTTATATGTTTTGAATAAAGCTTGTTACTACCAAGAGTTTACGCAAATGCCAACTGTCTTGGCAGTCAGTAATATGTAACAGTTACATTACCAGGTAAGCTTCCCATTGCAATAACAAGTTGCATTAGTCATGAAGAGTCATGAAGGAATGTGCTTTTGACTAACCCCTCTCGTTGTTAACTTCATTTTATGATAGTTCATTGAGAAATTGGGACGCAATATACTGTATATAATATATGTTATAACGATCTGTTTTCTTCGAAAACACGAAATCGATCTCAATCACTAGCATCACTAAATCGGCAACCAAGAATCCAATGCTCATGAAATTTACAGGTTTGTTAAGCATAACTGTTGTCGATGTGTGTGCAAAGAATTGACACGGAATATTAAGTACGATTTTGAGTTGCATATAACAATCTGTTTAATTTTTCGAAAAAACGAAATCGAGAGCTCAATCGCTAGCATCACTAAATCGGCAACCAATAATCCAATGCTCATATAATCTACACGTATGTTAAAGGTAACTCTTGCCAATGTGTGTGCGAAAAATTGGGACAGAATATTAACTACAATTTGAATATGCAAGAAACGGCTGGCTTGATGATCCGTGTGCAACTTTCCGATGATCACGTGTAATAAATTATCAAAATTACCTTTCACGTGTCCTGAAAGAATAAGAGCGCGAATTTAAAAATACGCCATACTACAGTCGTCACCCTCTCTATAAGCACATCATACAAAAACCTCTTTATTAGCACACCATGTTTGAGAACCAATTACTATGGAACTTATAGGAAAAACCCTCTATACATTCACAACCTCTTTATAAGCACATTTTCAACAAAAGTTGCATTGTTCCCGACTGTGTGATTATAGGTGGGGTACGACTGTATTCTGTTTCATTAACGCTGTTTTAAAATGTCGCTCAGTTTTCGTGACTCGTTCTCTTATAGAAACACTAACACCAACGTTGTCAAAATTAGAGACAACGTCAATATGAGAATCGAAAGTGTGAATACCCAAGTCGCGACGATACGCTTTGTAGATGATCAAGACAACTGTATACGTGTTCCGCAAGGACTGACTGTGAGAGATGTCTGTGAAAACGCAAACGTAAGACCCCGTAGACAAGAATTTCTAATTTCGTGGGTCTCAAATTACGATATATACCTTCATGGTGAGAATGTAATATCCCTCGTTAATCAGAAACAACAAGCTGTAAGAGGGATTGATGCTTTTACATATTCCACTACTGATGACGAGGACAGCGATGGCGATGATGACAGTAATAGCGATTATGGGAATGATGAAGACGAAGATTGGGAACAGTTAATCCGAAATCATAATGATGACATCCGTAGGATTATTACACATGGATACGAAATATTAACTATACCATTACGAGGAAGAAGAATTTGGAATATATTCTCAACTAGACGCAATACTCGAGGAGGAACTACTCTGTTACACTCAAACCGTGGGGCTTTTCAAGTGACTTTGTCTAGGAACATTTATAGGTTTGATGGATTTGTTCGCAATAATGAGAATGAAGAGGGGGATGAATCTTTAGAGATAACCAACAGACACAAATCACGCAAAAGGCCAAGATCTGTTACGCCAGAGTCAGTTCAGAACATC